AATAAAAGAAATATAATTATATACATTAATTAAATTTTCATATGTAATTATTTAGTTTTGATTTCATTATTTAATTACAACTTGTGTGGTTGGCTTATTGAGTTCAAAAACAAATCAATGAATATGGGATTGTGTTTTCAAATATTTCATTGGTAAACACGGGTGTTTATATGAAAAAAGTTTAGAATGTCAAAGGTAAATTTTCACTGGTCAGGTTGCACGTAATCGGCTTACCAGTTTTACACTTTGTTTTTCAAATAGAATTGCAGGGAAGCTTAAATGTTACGATAAAACTAGGTTAGATTGCCATGCATTACCCATATCACAATCAAACATAGCTACACAAACTTTACAGTGTCCTTAGACTTCGGTTATTCACTTAAATTTACGACTCTTACACACACTTTTACATGTAAATAGCAACTATAAACATGACCGCAATAATAGAGGCCCCACGGAACCTCCTGACTCATGCATCTTTTCCCATCAAAAACTTAAGGTTATTAAGATTTAGGATTTGCTACCAATGAATTAAGAATAGCCTGAAATTGACTGAAAGTAACAAAAACAGGTACCACTCTGCATAACCATCGTCTAGGGGTAGGTCATAGACGAATAATTTGAAAACTTGAATTTTCAAAAGATAATGCTAAATTTTCCACTTCGAAATACTAAAACTTCCAAGTTCATTGATAGCGAAACTGCTTATGGCTACGAACTGCTAAGTTAGATGCATAAGCAATGCAGTGAATGTATAATCAGTTAGAGGTTGAGTTTTTTTGATAATACCCTGAACTCTGTTGTAATATCCTGACATATTACCTGCTCCATCGTAAGTCTACTCACTTGAGATTCGAAAGCACCCCCTGATAAATTGGTGTTGTTACGTCCATGACTTTAAATACTTAGCAGTTAAGGAACTTAAGGAGTTACACTGTTAAGAAATTAATGTTGCTCAAAAATTTGTAAATAAGTAACTGTACCAGACACATTTGCAAAACGCTGTTTAGTTTTAGTAATGAAACATAATAGACGCTAAATATTAGAAATAGGATGAAAAGTAAAAAAGGCTTTACCATTTTAAAGGTTCGTGATTTTTGACGGTTTCGGGAAAATGGTGAAACTGTCTTATTTTTTATCCAATTTTTTTTTATTTAGCGGCTATTCTGTTCCATTGTTGAGATTTAACAGCTTCACCAAATCAAATTTTGTAGATCTGTCTTATATAATTAGTTATTTACTATTTTTTAACAGTCCCGTTTCCTAACCTTCTCATATATGGTTGCTATGTTGGATATGATACAGCGAAAATTAAATTTCAACTTATTGTTAGCGGGGTAAGAAACAAATGTAATGTAAAAATGTTTTTTTTTTAAGCTGGGCTATTTTTCCAATGAAAATTAATCTCCTCTTCGTTTTATCAGTAAAAGTTGGTTTTTGGACAATACATATTTGTTCTGAAAAATGGATAAATAATTCTCTGTTTCTAATTGTTCCTACATAACAAAAATATCAACAGTAATAAAAAGTAGTTATATTTAAATTGTCATTTTTAAACCCTAAACAGTTCCTATACAGTGTACCCTTTATCGTAGTTTTATATACGTGTACGTTATAGATTTCAGCTACAAAGTACTTCCTTTTTAATATTCCTTTGAAAATATACACGGCTGTCCTCAGATATATTCACCACCCTTTATCGTAATCTAGACTATTCGCGCTAACAAAACAAAGCAAATGTTACTATACCTATACATTGTAAAATGTTAGGTTTTACTTTGATAAATATGCAAGAAGTACTTTATGCGTAGAATATCGAATTGAAGAGGAAATTCAAAAGAATTCTTTGTTGCTGTTCTGAAAAGAAAATGGAAAAGTTTCTGTTTTGTACGAATACTATTAGCCAAATATGAATAGTTGGGTGATGGGGGATGCGGAAAGGGTGAAAAACTCGCACACCAATATACATGTGTTGCCTATTTATTAATCAGTATGTATACCTATTCCGGTTCTATTGTCTTGTAAAACATAAAAAATTGTTCATTATTATTATCTAAATGACATTTTGACGCTAATTATTAAAAAATGTACCTATACTTAAGAACGTTTAAGTTTTTGATCAAAACTGCCAGACGCGGATCACGATTTCGATCTTTTTAGATCTCATCAACGCGCTGTAGGCAGTTTCGATAAATTATTAACCAAACCGAGGAAGCTTCAAAAGAATAAGTTTATGTAATATTCAAATACATGCAGTGTATCGCCATCTGGTGGGTATTTGCTGCTACTGAAGTATTTTATATGTTAGACAAGGTATTACTAATATATATATTTTAACTTGTCTAACTAAATCAACGTTATAGGCACGTAAGCCAATTACTTATAGATGACGAAACAGACTAAAAATAGGTGTTTATATATTAAGTATCCTAACTGAGATATTATAAAAATATAAGGGGCGAGAAGGATTTGCTATCTAGTAGTAGGAGAATAAGAGGACTAAAGGTATGTCTCAGGTCAGGTCCCACCTTAGGAGGAATGACGCATTATTTAGAAACATATTAAAAGTAGAAAAGGGAGTAAGAAACGGGGAGGAAGATACCATTCTTTCTATTGATCCTACCATTAATTTTTCAATTCTTTTCTCTGTCTCTGATGCCTCACATAATGACATTACGTATTCTGCTGTTTTTCGTGTTCTTCACATAGTCTGCATATCTTTTCGCTGCTTTCTAGTCAATATCTGGATTCTTTCCATTTGTTTTCTGTTCTAAATGTACTATTTTTATGTTCTTTATTTTTCCTTTTGTTATTGACATAATCTGGAAGTTCTTCTTGTCTCCATTGTAAATACTTTTTTGCGTATCTCCATTTGTTTATTCTTTCTTTCTTTTCTTCTTCTATTTTCTTCTTTTTCTACTCCTTAATTATGTTTTCTCCCATTTCTTCTCTTAATCTTACATCCGTTATAACTTTTCTTATTTCTGCATAAAAGTCTGTTCTCTCTTTTCCCCATTTTGTTCTTTCCCAATCTTTGCTGATCATGATTTTTCTGCATTATTTCAAGATTATGTTCTTTATCTTTCATTACATTCTCTTCATATTTCATAAATCTTACGGCAGCTTTTATCTGGACCTCTTTTACCTTTGTTTCCTCTCTCACTATATATGCATTTCCCTGGATCTAATATATTCTTCAGATGTCTTTCTTGTACCATTTGGATTTCTTTTCTTTTTTTGCTTATATATTTCCACCGCATATAACAGAATACTTTTCACCGTAACATTAAATATTCGTATCCTCTCAATAAAATCTCTTCCGAATTTCCTATCACATATGCTCCATATTTGTATCATGGCTACTACCACCCATTTGCACATGTCTTTTATATGTGCTGCTTCCCCTTTATGTTACGCTATTAGTTGGAAAATGGATACAAAGGCAAATATTTTTTTGACAAAATACGATGCTAGAAATTGTGTTTCATTCAACATTTCCATTCAAAATTTTTGCGTAAATAATTATTATAACCAAAAATAATACTTATGTATAATTAATAAACAGTTAATAAAGTTAAAAATGACCCTTATAAAGATAAAGGTTGTATTATTTCTATATTAACTATGTAGTTTTCTACGTGTTTAAAATTGACTTTATTGGTAGGTACCAGAACGGATAAGGGCTATGAACTCCAGCATAAAGTTGTTGCTAATTGTGAGAGAGCCAGTGACTCGGGCTATCTCCGATTATACTCAGTTGCGAAGCCACGCGGCAACGGCCCCTTCTTTCACTTTCGGCACGAGTTCACCCCAACGATCCTTTCAACAATTGGCTCTTCATTCTAACGGGTCCATAAATGAAGCTTACCGGCCACTAGCAATTTCCGTTTATCACAACTACATTCATCGTTGGCTCGAGACTTTCCCAAGAGAACAGGTAATTTCGATATAATTTTGCGTGCATACATAGATATAGATACATGCATACATTTATACATATTTTAGTAATTGAAAACATTATCAGATGAGTATAGCTCTAACGAAACCTTACAGCTATAAAATAGTCAATTTGAAATTGCGAATATCATAGGTATTTAAATCATTAGGTTGCGTCTCCATTATTGATTCAATTTGTTCAATAATTATGCAGCAAAGCATTTGAACTCCAGCGAAAGCTAATCAATTTTGTTTGTATCTAATTTTTGTCAGTGGGGTGATTTACCTGCAAAGATTATTTTTCTGCTTTAGCATCTGTTATAATATTTTTCTATGGTAAACGAATATTTCTCGTTGAATGTATTTTTCATAAAGTTTATTATCTAAAAACTCTCAATACTTAATATGTCTTGAATGAAAAGTAACTTATAATGTTCTGAATTTTCCACAACGAATGGGAACCCATTTCATCTGTTTCCGATTTATAGGTAGGTATATTTATTTCTGGATATCCTGCAAATGCAAACTTTGACTTACGTTAGTCAAACAGTAATTTAACATGCACGATTTTATACATGTATGTATATGTATTATCCTGGATTTGCTCGTACTAATGTTGATACAGTTGTATGCCATATTATACATACTATACCTTTACGAATTTGATTCGAGTATGAAGGCAACGTAAACTTTCGTCTTTGAAAGATTCCTTTTAAGAATTACATAAAGGTTCTTTCAAAACCGAAGCCAATACCTGATTATGTTTCCGTAAACGTCTATGTCAGTAAGATATTTATCGTTTACGTACAACGCTGACTTTTATAATGAATTATAATTAATAGCTTCTAATTTTATTAATAACTCAACAGTTTGGGTCGCTGCCGTATCATCTAAGTAAAATAAATGCAGATTGTATCTAAACGTTGTAGAAAAACTTGACTGATAACATTATCTTAAAGTCGACCACAGTTTAAAATTTTAAAAAGGGATTATCCAAAATTATTGCTCCTTGATTCCGATATTTATAAGATGAAAAATCACATTTGCCAGGCGTCTCGTGATATAAACATCAATTTAAAACTGCAATTTTAATTACTACTTTTGTTTAGATCCTGATAGTCAACGGTGATCTACTGATCGAAGATCCTCTATCTCAGATACAAAGGATCGAGGATTTTCTAGGATTAGAGTCGAAGATCAGTACACACAATTTCTATTTCAACGAGACCAAAGGTTTCTTCTGCTTGCGAAACGAGACTTCAGATAGGTGCCTGAGGGAGACGAAGGGCCGAAAGCATCCCCGAGTAGACCCTCTCGTCATATCCAAGTTACGTAGGTATTTTGCCGAACACAACCAAAAGTTCTACGAGTTAGTTGGAGAGGATATGGGCTGGCCCGAGGAGTAAGGCTGACATTAAACTTTGACTTCTTGTTATGTTATTACTAAAACTTCATACAACTTACATAGTAGGCATATGCTCCGGGTTGACCGTTCCAAACTCATAACGAAGCGGCATTGCACTTTCTACACACATAGCTAACATTTACATACATTACGTTACATTCCATTGCTGAATAAAAAGGCAAACTGCAATAGTCTCTTTACAACAGACATCAACAAAAATGATACAGACAAGGAGGTGAATTGTAAGCTGCTATTTTATTTTTTGTCATTTTCGGTGTATTAAGTACAAAAAATTATACTTTCTGTGTAAATTGTTAGAATCAAATAAACATTTTATTTACAAGATTGTTAGCAATACTTACATCAGAATATAATCACTGAATATTCGAAAATGAATCGAAGATGCACCGAAAATGACAAACACTGATAATAATGTGTCGTTTTTTCGGGATTTTTCATTAGTGTATCATGGGATAAAGACCTATTTGTTTAAATTTTATTCGGGGGTTCGTACCTTATAGTGTGTGGTATTTAGAATGACCAAACATCAAACCTCATTGGAAACAACAAAGTACAAATCTTAGGAATTTTTATTATTTTAGCGAATAAAAAGTACTAATTGTTCTATTTTTTTACAGATGCCAAGTAGTTATTAGTTACTTAACATACCAAATTTACTTAAAAGCATATCTCATATGGGTTCAAGTGCCAAACGGTTGTCTCATAATTATTTCTTCGACAAATAGGTCAGGTTAGGTTAGGTTAAATACTACAACGGGTTGCATTAATGCTTGATAAACATTTTGATCTATAATGATTTTGCATATTATTAAATTTATTGCGACAAATTCCGAATTTATTTTTGAACAAAAATACTTAATAATTGATATTTTTATATTTGTGAAATATCAATACTTAACGGCGAAGCAATTTTGTAAATGTTCTCTTTTCTAATATAAAAGGGTGAACGGGGTTTAACAATTAACCTTACGGCGTCTTGCCTTGGGGTAGCGGATCAAAAATTAAGGAAATTGGCTGGTACCTAAATGATAAGGAGGGAAATTGATGGCTCGTTTATCCTTATACATATTAAGTACCACAGGGCAAAACTGAGGTACGCATATATACTATTTTTTACTTAATTTTTTGCTACATGTCCCGTCAATATAACATGCAAGTAGCAACGGATTATTTATTATACTAACGACAGTTTAGAATAGGAACTTAATCCATTGAATATAATCGATTTAACATCATTTAAAAGAGTTCATAAACATTTTAATATTCGATGCAGAAATGAAGTCGCATGAAAAGTTAGGAGTAAGATAAGTCGTCTAACTGTACACGTTTATATGTATATATATCAAAAACCGCTTTTACACCTCTACTGAAACTTCGATTGAAATTATAAAAGTTGTAGGAAGTGCATGTCTCGAATGTAGTTTTATTTAAATAAGAATGGGAAGGCATAATGTACATTTAAAAATTTATTGCCGTCAGCAAGGTTTGGAATAGAAAGTTTTTAAATAGATTATTTAATAAACGAAAATTTTACGTTCAAGAAAATGACGTTTCCAGAATTTATGTTTTTATCAAATACCAACAGTTCGTTGGAAGCGACTTTTTATTCCAACATCGCAAGCTGTAAAGTGTCTAATTAAAAAAGTTGTATTTGTCGATCTGAAGATTATTTCGTTCGTTTGCAGTTATAAAATTTGTATTTGATTTATCCAGCCTTACACCTCGTGACCATGAATTGCTAAATATAAAAACATATTTACTTTAAAATTAGATCTTGTAAACTGCGGGACAAAACCCACGAAACTGCACATAATTTTGCCTGTTGCAAGTACAAGCAATTGTAACTACACCACAGATTTTTTATATAAGCTTTTACCATAATTTTAACGTAGATAAATAGTTGAAAATTTTCGTCCATTTTTAATGAGGCTGGAACCAGAAATGATTGTGTCAAATAATTGTTTTTTCGGAATGAAAAGTACCCAAAACGTACAATTATTAATTTTTCTTCAGTCATTAGTGTTGACATGAACAAGAAGCATTAAACGCCAACGTCAACCTAATTGATTTGAAAATTACATTTTATTAATATCACTGTTATCTATTTCTTATCCCGATTTTGGAACCAAAATAAGGAACTACACCTACTGTCGCAATTTAGCTATAAACGCGTAATTCCATTACCTGTTAGATTTTTACTCTCATCGAGAGAAAAGAATTGCAGTAATTTCAAAAATAGGGAACAAACTCCAGCTAAATTGATCCTAATGAAATTGACGATATTAGTATACATTTACGTCATTTGGTAGTACCTAGTACCATTTATAAAATCCAGAATACCAGATTATAAATTGAAAGAAAACAATTAGTGTTGGCGTTGGCTATAAAACATTGATTTTAAGCTATTTCGAACACAATTAATTTCTGGCAGTCCTAGTTGATTAAACGCTTGCAATATTTTTTTTTTAATTATAGAAAAGAACTTTTAAATGAATGAAAGTTGAGGCTTTATCTTTTAAGCACTACGGAATGAAGGATATATTCGTAATATAATAAAAAGGAAAACAAAAGTAACGATACATATCAGATGATGCCATTAAATGAATACTATAGTAAGTAACTAAAGTATAGGTGTACCTTATAAACCGAAACTAAACATATCAAATACTGTGAGGAATGATCTTAACCCGGAAATGGTTGGATCACATTGGTCAGTGCCTTTAGGTTTAATGTATATCGTAATCCATATTGGAAGTTGTTTGCAGGCCATATTTTTTTACGCCACTCATATTTCTTTCCTTGTGCAATTTCACGCTATTATACAAAGCTTTATGAATGCATACATATAGTTACCAATTTATTATCTATTATCTCGTTTCCACTTCTGTTTTTGTTTTTTAACATATATTTTATGATAACAATGAGGGTACGTGATACTTTTAAAAATCTTATTTCAAACAGAAGAAAAATAGGAGGAAGTTGATTCTGAATCGTGAAATATTTTGTGAATTTATTTATACATTAGTACATACCCGAGTAAAAATAAAAAGAATTATAACACCATCGAATAAATCGACTCAATATATCTGAAATGACGTAAATGACCGAAACAGTTTCTACAAATTAGACGAAAATTTAAATTCTAAAATTATAGCCAAAATACTACCCTTTGAAGCTGTAAAACAGCTCCAAACTAGCACCACATTAACGAAGATCCGAAAGAACCCTCAAACAGCGTCTCGCCAAAAAACATACTATAATAGCACCAAAACAGCATCACATACAAAATCATCTACAAGCAGCACAAAGTTATTATGAAAATAGCAATAATAGTCACTTTAATAATAATGAGGGTATATGAATATATATCTATATACATGTATATATTTATATATATTCGAATTTTAGTATACCTTTGCTGTTTCGGCGCTTTTTTAGAATAAAAGCATCGTCCTTTCGGTGGTATTTCAGTAGCTTTCTGGAAAGCAATCCGTGCTGTATCCGTGCTCTTTTCGTACTAAATGCAGTACTGTTTCAGTACTCCATTCTTACACAATCGGCGGTTCAGTCCTGCAAACGGACCTTTTCCGGTAATATTTTAGAGAAATTTATGGAGCTAGTTTGGTTGTAATTCGGTGGAGTGAAATTGAAAACAATAAGTTTTATTTGGGTAGTTGAAAATTGAGTACATTATTTAATTACAACTTGTGTGGTTGGCTTATTGAGTTCAAAAACAAATCAATGAATATGGGATTGTGTTTTCAAATATTTCATTGGTAAACACGGGTGTTTATATGAAAAAAGTTTAGAATGTCAAAGGTAAATTTTCACTGGTCAGGTTGCACGTAATCGGCTTACCAGTTTTACACTTTGTTTTTCAAATAGAATTGCAGGGAAGCTTAAATGTTACGATAAAACTAGGTTAGATTGCCATGCATTACCCATATCACAATCAAACATAGCTACACAAACTTTACAGTGTCCTTAGACTTCGGTTATTCACTTAAATTTACGACTCTTACACACACTTTTACATGTAAATAGCAACTATAAACATGACCGCAATAATAGAGGCCCCACGGAACCTCCTGACTCATGCATCTTTTCCCATCAAAAACTTAAGGTTATTAAGATTTAGGATTTGCTACCAATGAATTAAGAATAGCCTGAAATTGACTGAAAGTAACAAAAACAGGTACCACTCTGCATAACCATCGTCTAGGGGTAGGTCATAGACGAATAATTTGAAAACTTGAATTTTCAAAAGATAATGCTAAATTTTCCACTTCGAAATACTAAAACTTCCAAGTTCATTGATAGCGAAACTGCTTATGGCTACGAACTGCTAAGTTAGATGCATAAGCAATGCAGTGAATGTATAATCAGTTAGAGGTTGAGTTTTTTTGATAATACCCTGAACTCTGTTGTAATATCCTGACATATTACCTGCTCCATCGTAAGTCTACTCACTTGAGATTCGAAAGCACCCCCTGATAAATTGGTGTTGTTACGTCCATGACTTTAAATACTTAGCAGTTAAGGAACTTAAGGAGTTACACTGTTAAGAAATTAATGTTGCTCAAAAATTTGTAAATAAGTAACTGTACCAGACACATTTGCAAAACGCTGTTTAGTTTTAGTAATGAAACATAATAGACGCTAAATATTAGAAATAGGATGAAAAGTAAAAAAGGCTTTACCATTTTAAAGGTTCGTGATTTTTGACGGTTTCGGGAAAATGGTGAAACTGTCTTATTTTTTATCCAATTTTTTTTTATTTAGCGGCTATTCTGTTCCATTGTTGAGATTTAACAGCTTCACCAAATCAAATTTTGTAGATCTGTCTTATATAATTAGTTATTTACTATTTTTTAACAGTCCCGTTTCCTAACCTTCTCATATATGGTTGCTATGTTGGATATGATACAGCGAAAATTAAATTTCAACTTATTGTTAGCGGGGTAAGAAACAAATGTAATNATAAATTAAATAATATATAGTTATGGTTAATAGTTATAAGACTCCAAAGCGTTACAATTAACAAATACATATCAAAATGTCCTGTGAAAACAAATATTAGCCAATAATACCTACATATGCAATTGTGGATGTGTGTTGATAGTTATTATCTATTAAAAATGAAAACGTAAATTTTATTCTTTATCGTTTTAATATTAGATTTTACGATTTTTGCTTGAATAGCATAATGATAGTGATAGTGTTTTGTGTTGTAAGAGATAGTAGGGGACTCACTCTCCGTTTATTTTTAAATGAGGGTGTCACAGAAATATGTGATTATAAGTCTACAACGGTCAACTCTAGAAAGTCAGTCAGCAAACAAAAAAGTCATTAAACACGATGTCCGAATTTGATCTGTTTCTAAGATATTTTACTTCAAAGCCTCTAAAGTCCTTTAATTGTGATTACTGAGTTTAATAAACAGCGGCTATCAAACAGTAAGGCTAAGCGCGCACTACAACTAAATTGTTCAACGACACTATGGTCGCAGTTTAGTCAGCCACATCATGATTAAAATAACTGTATTTTTTTTACTTTTGTTGTTTACAAGGCTGATTTTCTTTCAACTTTTCTTTGGTAAAATCTGCTTCTCCACCCATGATGGCCACTCCGGATCGTCATTATAACTAATAATAATTATTATTTTAAAATTACAAAAATATAAACTCAACCATTCTGTCGTCAGGTGCGCGCACAGATGGTGCTGTCTTATGCAGTAGGTCTATCAGCCAACTGTTTAGTTATGATAAGACTCAATCGAAAAGTTTGTGAACTGTTATGCAGGTTAATGGGCGCGTATTCGTATATTACCATTGACTTAACATAACCGACTAAACTGTTGGACGACAAAACAGTCCTAGTGCGCTCTTAGCCCAATAGAAGGTTTATATTTACTAAGAAATGGTAGTGTCGTGCGTGTTGTTTTCAGAATTGGGTAATAATCACCTAAATTTGAGCACACTAAAGAAAGGTTCTCTACACTCTAAGGACTATGTCCATGGTCCAGTAACATTCGCTATCTCAAGTGATCATTTTATCCAATAAAACTTACCACCGCAAAAGTGCTTCTAAATCATATTTGAAATCAGCGTACCAAAAACACGGGACATAATACTTTTCTGAAGTGGCCGCAATGGGCCCAAAACTGGCACCCTCCTTTACCATAAACTCTATACGATTTATTTGCTGAATTGTTGGAAATGTCCTCTCGTTTTACATGATTATAAATAAATATATATATATAGTACCTACCTATCGTACCTGTCTGTTAATTTTGTGAAACGGAGAGTTGTTCTTATTGTTGTTGTTAATTGTTAGTGAATTTATGGTTGTAGATGTGGTGTTCTTTCCTTGTGAGTATGTTACCTAAACGTCATAAATAACTAAAAATTCTAGTTCTTTTTCACTAGCTTCCTTACGCCATTTATATACATATATATATTAATCTTGGGCTGTGTCCGTTAAAGAGGTGTTCAAGAAAGGTCTTGTACATTAAAGCAACAATAGCACTTCAGTAACGCAATTCGTACTGCATTCACTTAAGATTAAGTATCTAGTTATTGCAATTATTTAGAAAGATACAAGTTCTTCGGGGATTAAAATATTTTCACTTATTTTATTATGTAAGATATCAGCAGAATATTTGCAAGAACAATGTTACCTAAACTATTATTTACACAAGCGGTTGTATTTGGTTTTTCGTCTCCTTGCGACTTGTAAAGCGTTAAGTATTGTAATAGTCAATACACGCTATGCGTGGATTGCCGCTGCGCTGTACGCGCCGTCTAGTAGCACCTTAAAATATTATTAATATTTATCTTCTGTTTTCTTAAACATTACCTAAAAATTTATCCAAGCAAGAGCTACATGTGCTATTTTTATACCCTAATGTACAGGTCGTTTTTAAGCACTGACTAGGATAATCACGTAATAAATGTAATAAAATTTTACCTACAAATTTATCCTATACTATTATATATAATTTTATTTGATATACTTAGCAGTATTAGTAGGTTAAAATAGCGTATCATGTAAGAATTTCACTAGTCCTTCTATTACTTACCGAAAATATTGTTAATTATCTAGTAGACTTAATAGTGTAAAATAATTTACCGTCTTAAATCACCATAAGGTACTTTTAAACCATCAAACATAAAATGCTTCTATTCATAATTAAAACATCAAGAATATGAAACCATCTTGTAATGAACAGTTTGGATACATTTTATGCACCTATTTAGTAAAATGAATAGATAAACCCATATTAATTAGGATGATATGTTAAATATTTTACTGAATTGCAGACTACATTTCAAAAAGCAAGTAATTATAAACGACACATATTAATGGAACATAGTTAAATCCCTTGTTTAGATAAAGGATATCTATAATAACTAAAAAGTGAAAATGATAACTTTGTACGTAAATTGATATTCTTGAAACTATTATCTACATTTTGTGTCACAGTCTTTTGAATTTTTTATTTGTAGATTATTTGTAAATTGTAACATGGTTTTGTCTATTCATAAAATTTATCAAAAATCCCTTTCATTATGATAATATATCCCCTATATGACGTCTAACATTTTCATCTTTAACGGGACCGATAAATACAATTTATTTTTCTCAAACTGAAGAAAACTGTAATGTAAAACTTGACAGAAAATTTTGAAGATAAATAGTAGTTCTTACCATCCAATCATTGCTCTTCTCTTTTAGCTTAATTGTTTAGATATTCTAAACTTTGTTTTAAATGTGAAAGATTGTTGTTGATATTTTGATAAAGTTTAAAATAACTTAGGGGAAGTACACTGTTGATTAAGAGCACCATCTAATTAATCAGATTTTATGTCTGTCTTTGCTTTAATTATATTAGTAACGTTGGAACTAAAAATCAGCTGTAGAAATGGTCCAGAAAATAAAAGTATAAAGAGAGGTGCCAGACAAGGCGTTAATGTTTTTAAAAGCAATAAAGAAACTTTATGGGTACCTTTTTATAATTTTCTAAATTTTTATCGGACAGTTTAGAACAACTTTTGTAATGATTGTAAAGTTCTTAAATAAATGTTTAAATTGTTTCATTTGATGTTTTATTTCATATAATAATAAGCAACAACCCTTTACGAATGTTAGACTTTCCATAAAACAAAACTACTTCAACATGTCAAAATTTCACATTAATTGGATGCAACTGCCAAAGTCTACTTGCTGTATGGATGGCGGTCAGAACTAGTTGTGTGGTTGAGACGGTTGATAAGGGTAAATGTTAGTGAAATAGTCAACAACTACACTAGTTACCATAAAAGATTCTTTCACACCACCCAAAGAGTTTATTATTTGGTGCAAATTGCCTTAAATTCGATTAAGATACTTATATTTAAACAATTGAATAACATTTATGCGCCGAAAGCTGTAATAGTCTAAATTATGTTTGAATATAATTACACTCAATGCAAATGAGGATGACATTGGTTTTGGTAAAGATTTATCATCTTTTGAGAAGTAGTACAAATGTAAAAAATTATACAATTTAAAGCTGAAACAATTTTTTGAGAAATACTACAATGTTATTAACCAAAATATGAATGAAAATGCATCGATTCCCTAATGTCCTATTCATTTTTTCTTCTTCTTTTTGTCCTTTCCCTTTCCCTTTCCTTTTTTACCTAGAACTTTATCCAAGTCAACTTTAACCCAATTCTCAAATATGCTCTTATAAAATTCATCGGTCCCTCCATCTTTTAATGGGAACATAAATCGCTTTTGCTCGAGCTCCTGTTCTAATAACATCAACCTTTCTAGCGCTAATCTCTCCTCCTCTTTTCTTTGTCTTTCTAATTCTTTCAACTGTTCTTTTGTTAATTTGGCAGGCTTTTGTTTTTTAGGCTTTTCCTTCTTACCCTTCTTTCCTTTCTTATCCTTTTTCCCTTTCTTACCCTTATCTTTCTTTCCTTTTTTCGGCTTTTTTTCTTTCTTTTCTTTGGGTTTTTCGTCCCTTGGGATAAAAGCCTCCTCTTTGTTTATTTTCGGGATCCTCCACACATTGTTCAATCTTTGTGTGATGAAGACTGGAGTTGCTTTAAATGCTAATGCAATCAACGAAAACTGGAATTTATTGTAGAAACTTAAAAATATTAATAATACATATTAAACGCGACGAAATAATCTACTTTATAGTATCTAGACGACTTACTAATCAAAAACGAAATTAATAACTGCCCACATTACAATGAAGTTGAATAATTTTCGACGATATTTTTCTTGGGTTTCTTTCTTCGCTTTGTCAAGAAAACTGAACCAATTATCTTTATCTTCTATTTCCGATTCGTCTCCTTCTTCTTCCTCCTCTTCATTAAGTTCTTCCGTTACCGTTTCGCTTGATGGTATCCAACCCTTCTCCGAATCATCCATATCTTTCAGCCGTTGCTCCCAAAGCTGCTGAAAGATCATTTTTTTCATAATAGCTTCATCATCCAATTCTTCTTCAGCAACTGCACTATCTATTATTTCTTGGGGGACATTTACTGGTATTTTATCCCTATCTTCTTCACTTTCCTAAGAGATTGAAATTATTTTTGGATGTCCATTTGTCAAGGTAAGTTATAAAATAAGGAAATTTTATGCTAGTGCTCTTGTCTAGTTAAAAAAGACATACCAAGGTCTTTCTTTTAAATAAAGAAGAAGGACAGGTATCTTCTTCTCTAGGAGTCCTCGAAAACTCAGATACCGTTAAAACTTCGAAATGGTCTTAAAAATTATTCATTAACTATTACATTTCGTTCTAATTCATTCCGCACTTACCATCCACTTGAACAACATCACACTCTAAAATATAAAAACTTGTTAACATGATTTATCGCGTTTTAAATTCACGTAAGTCGAACCTTCCTCTTCTACAAATTCGAATTTGCCTTCATCGGAAACTTCTTGTTTAATAATTTCACTTTTGTTGTCCTCAGAAGCAAGTGGAACTCTAGGCTTTTTAATTTTCTTTCCGGTATCAGGGGACACTAATGAGAGACTACTTTCTACGGTAATAGAATCGAATCTGTCGCCTCCTTTATCTGAACTTATTTTCGAAGATATATCTCTAGAAATTTCACTTCGCTCGGTGGTCATGCTGTACGTCGTTGAAGGAGACAATTTATCTAAAATGCGTTATAATAAGATGCAATGTCTCCAACAGCAATTGATTAGTACATTCATTAAAACTAAACGTCTTTTTCGGAAGTGGAAAATGTGAGCTAGCTTCTTCTGGGTCCTCGTTGTTTTGTATTTCTAAGACGCTTTTTATTTCTGCTACTTTTTCATTCAATCCGGAAAACGTCCTACTACTTTTTCCATCGTCTTCCTTTACAGAAGAAATCCAACTTCTCTCTTCGGTATTATCATCTGATATTAATTGAAACACCTGTTCTGGAGGTGGCAATTCTTCTTGTTCTTCATCGATTATTTCACCAACAATTAACACGATTTCGGCAAAAGCGCGAAAGAAATTTTTGCGAGAAAAGTTCACTGTTGGGCCTGAATAACAAGAATAAATTATAAATACTAGGAGAAATTATCGAAGTAAGGCTCCGAAATAAAAATTGTGTCTGTAAAAGGTGGATCTGTAGACTTTAAAAAAAATCGGTTGTCTGTAAAGTCAGTTTACTGACGATAGTTGAACGTGACAACGTCATAAGAAAATACTGATGGAATGGTTTCATTTTTCAAAAGAAAATTTTAATTTTATTTATTTGATAGATATTTTGTATGGATATAGAGAAGGAGGTAAATGGAAATGTATTATTGTATAGCAGCTGTCCACGTGGACGCATCGCTCACTCAAGTAGGAGAGAGACAGATGTCGAACGCTGCCGAACGCGGAGGCCGATTGTGCCTCTTTGTCGCTCGTTCCGCGCTCTCGCTTGCACTTCAAGCCTTAAATGGAACGCCTCAGAGCGAGGTAACGCCGCATGAGTCATGTTTTTTCGTGCGTGCTCCATCGAATTATAAGACGTTGTCACGTCAAAATCACATTAACTTTCTTACTTCGTATAAGCTTAAACATGTAAAGAATCCATTCCAAGATTCTTTTTTGTATGTCGACAGGAAATCTGAAATCATCCTGCGATCTCCACAAGCAGTCTGTTACTATATCCAAGAACCAGAATTGCAAATGATTTCGCTTATAGTCAGTGCAATTGAAGAAATCTCCTAACAGTTCGATGCTACTTTTTACTCCAATTTCTCTAATAATGGGAACTTCTAACTCATTTATACTTGGAAATTCAGACGGTAGTGTTTCTATGGGAAAATTGAACATAAATTCCGATTTCGGTGTACTCGAAGGGACGTCAGGTCGAGATTGACCCTCCCATATTTGCAACAATTTCAAACCAGTTTCACTCAAGCATCTTCCAACTGGGATTACCTCTTCAACAGCAACGCTATTTTCGACTGTGGTCGACATATTTTATTACTTCCAAATCGATTTGATAAAGTTGCTTACTAATTTTGACATATATTTAACTCAAATTCCTTTCAAAATTCAAACTGGAAACTAGTACTCCTTGGATATTTTTTAGTATCAATACAAACATTGCGACATTTAGTAAACAGTTTTGTTTCGTTTCTTATTATTCAATAAAGTTTTGCAATGCATTTTTTAGCATTATGTGGTCACATATTGACGAAAAGGATGTGGAATGATAGGAGATAGTATGGTATTTCCACTTACTGTACAAACTGCATCTCTATCGCAGGATACAGGATAAACATTATTGTTTTAATACTTTTAATAATATTTTTCGCATTTTTCTTTACTTTATGTTGCACATGTCGCCAGAGAAATCTCGATAATTCCCATTCCACTTTAAACTGCGGAATTGCATTACAGATAATAGAATCGCGTCCCCGCTGGAAAATTGCAACACGTTGGTGTCTGTGCTCCACATGTATATCTATCGTGTACATATAAATGTATAGGTTCACATATGTATGTATATTTTTCTGCTCGGTCGCATATAGGTGCATGTGTGTGTACATATATGTGTATGTGTATGTGTACATACGTGAAAACACCGTACATAATCGCGCTACTAGTTTGGTTCCTCGTCACGATGCTCTTCCGCTGACAGTTTTCGAAAATATCATGTCATATCTGGCTTCAGAACGTGTTCTTTTTCGTGGAAAGACACGAAACTACTGAAATTCGACGAGAATGGCATTGCTACTCAAAATGACGATAGAAAATGCAAGTTAAGGGCATATTACATAAGTACCTATACCAGACATGTTTTAATGACATTTATAATAGAAATAGAGAATTGGAAACTGTAGTATTCTTCGAATAAAAGAAGTAAAGAGAGACTTGTCTCAATTGTCACAATGAATTTTTTTGGGAGGGCACGTGTTTTACCAACCGTTATCAACGCAAGACTGTGTTACGTATACCTAACATTTTTTCCTACAAAGATTGACCTATTCGTTATAATTTTTTAGTAAAATGCCAAGCATTCGCGTATAAAATATCTTCAATGTTTTCAGAAACAGACAGTCAATGCTATGCTAGCGGAAGTCACGAAAAAAGAAAGAAATGTTACGCTTTAACATTATACAATTGAACAAAAACTGAAGATAAATACTATGAATTAAAAGAGGAACTTTAGTAATTAGAACGAAGGTACCTAGAACTAGAACTGTTGATAGTTTATATGTTACCGGAAGTAAATGAAATCTAGGAATTGTATATAGAATTCTTAGGAAATGTATACAATTCCAAGGCTATTTAAGAAATGTATACGTTTCTCAGAACATGTGTGTATTAAAAATCTTTGAAATAATATTTTTTACATTTCCTAAACAGTCTCAGAATTGCATACATTTCCTAGGAATTGTATACAACTCCTAGATTTCATACATTTTCGGTAACATATAATATTAGGAAAACTGTTGAGGAGGAACTAGAAGTATTTCAATAAAATCGAAATTCAATAAAAAGGTAAACTATTTTTCAAAATAATCCTACAACATAGAAATAAGTTTTTATCACAAAAATGACAAACACTATCACCATATTATTCTTATCGTTAGTCTTCCTTAAGTAATCCAGATTTTGTTAGTCTTACCTTACACATTTTCGAGTTTTGGTCTCAAACACTTATTAAAGTCACTTACATGTATACATATATCTACAATAAATCATTGTTTCCTTAATAGAAGATTTAAAAACAAAAACTACTTCAAATCAGCTGAATGATTGTGGACTTGCTATTGGATAAGCAAAATATGAATTAAGTAAACTACTAAACGGAATGAGCCAAAATACTTTCGTTGAATAATATAGAAATAGTTGAAGTTCCGGTTTACATATCCTCAGCAATAAAACGGAATCCTTATGCTATCATTTTGCTATTCGTCCTTCTATCTGCCTGTCTGTTTGTCTGTTAAATGTATCACTAATCATGAAAACATAATAGAGCATTTCTAGCTGAGCTATATATAGAGCTTTTATTAGACGAAAGAAAAATATGCTGCAAACTGAGAAAAATATGTGAAAACTATAAATTCCAGATTTATGTAATAGCGAAAATAATCAGAAAGGAGAAAATACATATAGGTAACAAAAAACTTAAATTGTTGCACTTAGTAATTTGTAGAATTGCATGTTAACGTTATGCATAAGGGATGAAAATTAGGGCGTTATTGTTTGTCACGCGATTCATTCGTGCATATTTTTATAAACTGCAGAGGCATTTATACACTGGTAAATTTTAACATGCAATCTGGTAAATCATTCGATTTTACGGGTACTAAAATGTAATATACTTAACATCGTAATTCGATAAATACCTACATTATACGAGTTGGAACAAAGACATATGTGTGTGTGCGAATAAATGATAAGTTTTTAGTATTAATTCATAATTACAATACAGGGTAGTTAACAGAGAAAACATAGCGAAATGGTAAATTCTAAAGCAGGGGTGGCCAATCCGCGGGCGGCCTTAAACATTTTTCGGGCCCACAATATTCATCATACTTTTACAAAATATATTTATTTTGTAACAGTCGCTGATTTTCGATATGGGAGGAGTAGTAGAGATATAAAACAGAGAATAGAAATACTTCGCTGCTCGCGAACGGTTAATTTAGAAATTTGATAAAGAGCACGGCGCTGTACGGGTGCTAAACGGGAACGCTGGGCGCGGCGAAAAAGAAAAGGTTAAAAGCGTTTTAAATATGGTGTTACATGCGAATGATAAGGATACCGTGGATAGAGAAGGCTAGAAATCAACAGGTATTAGAAACAGTAGGAGAACAGAGGGTGCTAAGGAATTCAATAAGAAATAGGCGAGAAAGGTTGGTAGGACTTCTTCTTAGGGATGAAGAGATAGTTAGAGACATTTTAGAAACAGAAACAGAGTTACAAGCAGTAGAAGTAAACCCATATTAGATTACTGTTCGCAAATAGTTAAGGATGTGGGATGTTCTGGTTTTAGGGAAATGCGAATATTAGCTCAGGAAAAGTGGAAAAGCGTGTTCAATCAGTCTTAGGAGTGACGACCTTATGATGATGATGATGATGATTATAAAGTAGTGAACACCAATATATTAAATAAAAACATTATATGTGCAACGATATATTCAAGAATTAAGTGTTGAAACTGCGGGAGAATATAAAACAATATTCTTGTAAATATAGTTCAAGATTACCTGTTTTAGTAATTAGTTTACAGTTATGAGTTCACAAAATGTCTATAGTGTGTCTAAATCAAATATGGAGATATATGTATGCATAATTTTACATGCGGTCAGTGGAGTTATGATTTGTTTCCAATGTGGTCCGCTAGATCATTTGGCTTGGCCACCCCTGTTCTAAACATGAAAGGGAGATAATTCAGCCGTTGTGAAACATTTGTTTTTAAAGAAAAAGGTTTAACAAAAACAAAACCAGAAATACTGAAATGTTTTCGTGAAGCTATTTATTGCTTTGGCATTATTAAGGGCGCAATGGATGGCCAAAGTTTAAGGTACTTATTATAACTACGATTTATATGTAGTCGTAAAAAAGTTGGGGGAGGGTGGTATATAGGAGGCGATCAGAAGTTCCTAATTCTACATTATTATTAACCAAAAGTGCTTTTTCATTCTTTTAAATATTTGAATGTCTCAAGACGATCTATCAAGTGACTTAATATCGAACAATGTTCTGTTAAAGATGGATCTTCAGGCTTAATCGATAAATCATTATTATCACAAGAATTAATTTCTCTACTCCATGACTACACGCTATTCTGGATGGATATAGTATACTATCTACCTATTTATACGCAGCTTCATTAAATTCGTCATCTGACAACGCATAATTCGTTGCCACTTTCTTGAATACAAAGACAAAGAGCGTTTTAAACTTAATGCGTCTTTTGAACATGCAAAAGTGAGATATTAGTCACATAAACCCCCCAGGATTCCACTATTATTAAAATTGACCCTAAAACGTTCGACTGTGCCAAACCGCAACTGATGTGAGAATTTGAACGGGACGTTAACAGTCGAGGGTGGTTTAGAACGGTATTATTCATGTCTCTTTATATAAACCCCTTCTACGTTATATTTATGCGAATGGGAAGACAGAAAATGTGCCTAATGTTCTCATTCGCATTTTGCAAGATTTGTAACGTATTATTCTGCGGAAGGGATTAAACAATAGGGCTAGATTAAGTAAATTACTTTGTCAAAGTCATTAGCTCAAATAACATACATTAAGTGCGTCACAAAATTATCCTACGACCATTTTACTTGCCAAAAAAAATATGTGTGTATATCAGTCATTTTAATAGCAATTTGGAAGTAACGTTTGCATTCAAGGTTCACTACAAAAGAGTGCGGAACGATCGGCCACAAGTCTCACGCGTGTGTGACTAACACGTGCACTATAAGAATACATGTATTTTAGTTAAAGAACTGAGTGAAAAATTCCGATTCCTTGGAGACAAATATTTAAGGAGTATTGTGGATATAAATCATCATCATTAAATTTCATTTAATAGTGTTATATTTTGAAAATATTCAACTTTAGTCTGTCGGGCTGCCTGCGACGCGCTGATGAGATCCAAAAAGATCGAAATCGCGATCCGCGTCTGGCAGTTTCGACAGAATACAGACCACTTCGAATTATTTTATTATTGATAAACTGTTATTGTGGCAACTATATAATAAATCTTCAAGCGTTTGTTTTTGCAAGTAATGAAGTGATTGTATTATTTGGCCGAATTAATTCATTCCTTTTACCTACAACATTTTAGTAGGCAAATTAATAGATTTGATTGGTAGTATCAGTTGCATTCTATATAAATTACTAAAATTACACAAATATGTAATGTATAGGTAAATTAAAAACAAACAAGGGTCTGCCCGAACTGCTTATAATAATAATTATGCTTTATTATTACAGACATGAAAAATTAATAATGGATTCGTTTAATTCAATGGATGCGATATCGCATATTTTAAGGAATACCTAATAATAAAT